CACATCTAAAACTACTGCTCGGTGCCCTGTGTTGCCAACTCGCAACAATGGTGCTCTTCTAAAGGCCCCAGCTGCTGGAGGCATATATTCAGATGAGAATCACAGCTTTCACCAAAAAGGAAAACAAGACAGTTTCTGGCCTCGTATTTGGTAGAAAAAGAAGGAAGATGTGAATACTAAAAGCTCAAAAAGCCAGACAGCCACAAAGGCCCCCATCCCCTCACTTTTATTATCTCAGGATTTTTAAGTCGTTCATACGATTTTCAGGGAGAACTGGCTCCGGTTTTGGGCTGCTAGGGGTGGGTGATCCTGAGCTGCTTACATAGGCACCGTGGGCTGACTGATGCACGGTTTTATGATTAGCAAATTGAGTTATAAAGCCCATTCCTAGAAACCAGCAAAGGCCAGCTTCAAAATAAATTTAAAAAATACAATATATAGAAAATGAAGGATTCAAAAGCAAGGCACTGAAATGTTCGCAAGGGAAGCCATTGACACCGGAAAGGAGGAAATCCTAGCCCTCTTGAAGTCATCATCGAAATTCCTATCGATTTTAATAGAATCCAATTCAGTAGCAGTACATACATATACATTTAAGAATAAAAAATAAATGCATTCCTTAAAAAAAAAAAAAAATCACTGCCCATTTATTCAGCTGCTGTATGAGCTCCCATCAGCTACCTTTGTTTCTCCGTCTCTAGTTGAACGCACCGCTGACACACACAGGTGTACGTCGTGCAAATCCCTATGCCATCGCAGATTTTAGTTATGCCAACTGCTGCAAGAGAAACATCAGCAAGAAAAGATATCCTTCGCTTCACCCTTGGTTAGTGGGCTGCTAGGCTAACAATTTCTAATTTAATTAAAAGGAAAGTGCCATTAAAAACCGCAGTCACATACAATTTCCAGAGACTGCTGATTTCTACATTTCTTTTTGATTTTTGCTCTTGTCCTCCTCTGCTCCTTATTATATGGAAAAGAGGCACCAAGATGACACAGCAGGTGGCAGCTAGACAGAAGTACAGCCTAATGCATGCTTTACATAACATCAGTATGAAAGGATTAAGGCATTCCCACCCCTGCCAACCGCCAGCCCCCCAAACTTTGCCAAATTTTGAATGGAAACATTTATTTTCAGCCTACCAACGAAAAGAAAAGATCCAATCCTGGTAAATACCACTACTTTGCATCACCCTTCGCATACTTAATTTATCACATGCCAAGTACTGTTTAACCTGCACGAAGACCATCAGTGGATTACTTTCAAATGCAAGATCCAGCCACTGACTTTCTAAATCTGGTTCCAGCCAGTGTCCAATGCACAGTCGGTTCAATGCAACACACAACATTTACTTCTTTAAGAAAAATTATTTTTAGTGTTGCCAAAACACACATGCACTTCTTTCTTGGGAGAAAAATGTGTCTCTTGATTTGTTTCCAACCTGTGTATTCAAGCCAGTAACTAAAAACGCTTAGAGAACTATAATGAATAAATCGCTCAGAGAATCGGCAATTAAAGCTCCAAATTTTAATCAATAAATCTATTAACGTAGGGATATATTTGCGTTAGCCAAGAAAAGTGTCTGACTTTTCAAGGTCTGAAAGCATACCTGAACTGCTAAAATGTTTTCTTTCAAATATTCAAGGAATGCTGACATCTATGGCAAGAGTTTGTCGATGCTTTCATCTCCCCCGCCCCAATCTAATTTTTCTAGGTTTGAGATTTTTTTTAATGTTTTTTTTCCCCAATTGCTGGTTAGTAAACTCAGTCCTTAACTTTCGATTTTCTCTCGTTTGTCTCATCTGCCTGCAAAACGGAAGGTCCCTGCCAAATGTAAAGCAAGGCAGAGCGAGACAGACTCAGACTGTGAGTCACACTATATTTGGGGGTTTATTAAACCACCGGCAGCGCACATCTCTGCATCTCTGTCAAAATTCGCATAGAGCGAATATCTAAAATTTGCTAAAGCAGGGTCTCTCCGACTGTAGTTATCAAGGTCAAGGAGCGGCCTCTTGCAAGGCATTCTGCTGGATCCCGTTTTCATGGGAAAGCTATTCCAAGTATGGTGTCCCAATGAGACCAAAAATGTGCTTAAATGGCTATTTCAGCGGCGAATAACGAGGAATATGAGAAATTATCCACAGCAAGGTGGTAACAAATTAGCCACGCAGCAATGTACGAGATTAATTTTCCACATCTGTTTGTGCCAGTCCAGTTTACATGACAAAGCCTGCCAGCCAGTATTAAATTAGAGAGCCCGGGACTGACAGAGATCTCACTTAGCAATATTTTGCAGCCACCATAAATCGTACGTGTGTGAACGACGCTCGGTATGCTGATCAAGTGGGCTTTGCCTCCCTGCCTGTCAGCTCATGAACTCAGAGGTGGGCAGAGCCTCAAAGTGTCTTATTAGCAGAACCAACATTCGGGATTAACTTCCTCCCTTCCCCCCACGTTTCGCACAAACACCGCTCTGCACAACACGTGTTCGGGAGGTTTCCACCAGTGCCCTTGCAAGGTACCAAAAAAAAAAAAGGCGAGCTCTGTAATTTCCACTGTATTCCTCCTGCATGGGAGCTACAAAGTTTAAGGGACAAAAAAATAAAATAAAATAAAATAAAAATCAAATCTATCTAGTAAGCACCAGAACAACCCAAAGAAATTAAAGCGCACATCTATTTATTAAATGCCAGGACAACTTGCTTCGCCGCTTCAATAAAAAAGATTGGAAGATTTCTGGAACAAAAACGATCCAGACTGATTTTGTAAACTGTCAGCAACGATCCCTCCTTTCAGAGCAATGTGAGCAGACAGATTAGGGGTGCGTATATATTTTCCGCAACAATTTCTACCCCGTACTCTAGCATTTTCTTTTAATAATACACTTGCATTTTACCAATGCACTCAGGGTCTGTTATATTCAAGAGGACTTGCAGTATGTTTAAGGCAGCGAAAGCTCCAGGAGTGAGGGGAAAAAAGAATGGGCAGTCATTTGAATCAGTGAGTGACAGGCCAGGCCAGCTCTCTGTATACATTAATAAATTAGAATTTTAATTGTGTCTCTGACTGCAGGAGCTGCTCCAGTACTTTAATATGTACCAACAATTGGCTATGTTATGGAATCTGCGATGTGGCCTTCACTGTTGACCTCTACAACACAATTCCCAGTCTGACTACGGAAACTGTTTGGTTTGATCCTTTCAACTTATTTGAATCCTGACAAATAAGCTCACAGCTGAAAGGTCAACACAGTCATATTTCATCCTCTGGAGCTATTCTTAAGACATCTGCACAACAAAGCACTTCTTTTAGTACCTGACACTGGACCTAGCCAGCACAATCTCTCATTAAAAATGTCCCCAGTGGAAGAGTCTATTAAAAGGCATATGGAGCTGCTATGGATTTACCAAATAAAATATTTTTGGAAGTGTTAATGTAACAGTTTGGCTTGCGACACTCCACACTCCCAATAAACCGTACGCCTGCCCAACGACAAAACAGTTCAGACTTTCCAAAAGAATAATAGTGCAGCTATAAAGAGACAGGCGTTGTCCAGAAGACGGCACACCACGTCGGGAGCCAGGAACGCATGAGTCTGAATTTCACCTCTAAAACATATCCTCTCCTACAGTCCGAAGAGGGTTCCTTAAATCTGCCTGCCTCAGTTTCCCTTTCCAAAACTGCTGTTTATAGATCAGGCTTCCCCCGTCTGGGGATGGGATGGAGATTCATATTTTCCAAATTCTCTGAGGATGAAATAGCTACATAACTGCTACAGGTGCTCTTGAGTGGGCCATATTGTGCAATGCAGACCTATTCCCAATTCACTGAAGTTGCTGAGAGCTTTGCTCAAACAAGGCTGTCATACGTGGCCCATAAGCTTCACTTTCTCACAGACTTACGTGTTTCTGATTTGACCTCCAATGCTCTGTTCCATCTTTCAAGATCTAGAATCTACATTTTGGGGACTAAATAATCTGAAATACATGTCATCAGGGAAAGGCACAGGAGCAGTAATGCTCTCAGAGGCACAGGAGTGCAAATCAGACATTAGTTCAACAACTTTTAGGGTAATAATGACAAGCGGAAAAGCACCGATATAAATTTGGACCACAAAAGCAGAGCATCAGATAGTAACAACAGTGAGAGAAGAGCCCAACAACAGGATGCTACTGTCACTGCACTTCAGCTCCAGCACTTACTTCTGGAAACCTTGTTACCAGAAAAGAAAGCATCCTTTTCTTAAGTCCCTGGGGGAACTTCCTGAGAGTGACCTAGTGCAGAATAGCTGTCCTCAGGAAAGTGAAAACACTAGCATGGTGAACATAGTGGAAAACTTAGGTACCACAATCCTACCTTGGCACTAACTGGGTTACCTACCAGCTGTTTCGGATCTCTAGTTCCTATGATTTATTCATCTTGAACAGTAGAATATGCCCCCAAAAGAAACACGTTTATGCATGCATCTTACTTGGACCTGGTTGTACCCTCCTGAATTTGTAACAAGCTGATAATATTTAGGTTTCCTTGAAGGGGCTACAAACATTTCATCCCTGAATATGTCCAGAGGCCAGCAGACAACGGCTGGCGGGCAGAAATCCCACCGATGATACGCTGCCCTAATGACTGCATTACTATTGCCAAAGCAGACCAACGGTTTGGGTGAACACGGGGTGTAAACAGAATGGTTTTTGAGCACAAGCACAACAGCAGCAACGCAATAATGGAACGACGACCCATTCAATTTTGTGATAAACCTCTCCACCCATCCTCAACCAGGCTGTGCTTATGGGTGGGCTTTCTAAAATGCCTGGTGTGGGTTTCACTGCTCCAACTGAAGTCAACAGGAGCCTTTGTGTTAAACTTCAGTTGGAGCAAATTAGGCCACAGCTGAGCATCTCTACAAATCTCACGTTAACTTCAATATTACACTGCTCCACAGCTTTGATTAACAACAGGTATATGCAGAGACTCACGTGCACACATGCACTCTTCTTACCTGAAGGGCTGGTTGTTTGTCATTCCTCTTGGGAGACTTTAATCCACTAACTTGCTGCTGCTGCTGCTGCTGCTGTTGCTGCTGTAGTAAAAGCTGTCGTGCCACCTGAAGAGCCTGGAAGAAAATAAATGGAAAAAAAAGGGAGTTTGTACCATGCAAAAACGTGGGAAGCTGCACGTGTGCTATTTGATCAGAACATCCCTTTGAACATCAGACCCAGTTCACCTCCCAGAAGAGTGCTCCCCAAAGAAATCCTGAGGCATGTTTGCACTCAGAGAAGAGTGGCTTCCGTTAAAAAAAAAAAAAAAAAAGGGAAAAAAAACCCTCAGTGCTTACCCATAAGGATATGACACACCACAGCCATTTCTCATTTTAATTACAGGGGAAATAGGACTGCATGGTAACCAGGGGCAAACATAGATTTTGAAGTGGGGGGGGACTAATGTGAGCTTATAGGGCTTTATGCAATGGCAATATGTCTCATCAGGCAACGAGTCCTTTTGCAAACCATGGCAGTCTTCGTGCCCTTTTTCTCTAACCGGGCAAAGTGGTCTAGAGCCGACCAGGGTAGTCAACTGGGAGTTTCTCTTTGAGGAAGGCTGTTACTGTGTGGGCTGTCTGCTGCAACAGCAGAGCAGCCAGAGGCAGTGGCATCCAGCAAGCGGAAGATAATGCAAGATCTTGAGCTGCGCAGGTCCAGTAGGGAGCACACGAAAATCATTACTGGTCACTAGTGGTGCATGCAAGCAAGGGGCGAGGGAAAACAACAGCTGGGAGAGAATATTCTGCATCCCACACCCCAAAGAAAGACTCGACAGAGCTCAAGGGCCGACTGCAAAGGGACCAGAGAAAAAAGCAACGTCTCCAAGACAGGACTTGCAGGTGAGGCATGATGCCTGGGGGAAGCATAAGAGGCAGGTCGAGGGCTGGAGGAGTATGAGGAAGTGCACACCTGATGCTAAAGAAGGGGCTTTGGGTGGGTCCACAAACCAGGCACCTCTGCAGTGGGGGGCAAGGAAGGGAAGGAGAGAGAGAGAGAGAAGTGGGAAAAGCAAAGGGGTACAAACGCCCCTCCCATCCAGCTCATGGGCAAGAAGCTCGGTTCCTTTGCCAGCACGTCAGGCCGAATGCAGGAGCACCCTGGAGACGGCCCGTGTGCCAGAAGCCGGGAGACAAAGCCCGTCTGCGGAGGCATTTGGAAGCTGAGATGCCTGGCACCGCGGCTGGGACTCTAGCCTGCTGTTGCACTGAAGGATTCACCATCGCTGGACTCCGGGTTTCCTTGTCTCCTTGGAGACGTTCAGTACATGTGTAGGTGTAAAAGTGGGAAGACTGAAGACTTCATTAATGTAAAACAAGAAAAATAGTCCCTTTGCAAGATGCCTACACGGAAGGAGGGAGAGAGGCTGCCACGCTCCTCCTGCATATGCTCCCTGAGCTAATTAATTAATACATATTCAATTAAGGAGTTAAATTCGTTTAGGGGCTTTGCCGTTTCTCTCTAGCAGGAATAGTTTCTCCTAAGTGTCAAGTGCTAAGCGTACCGCACGGCACCGGGCAGCGATGGGAAGCTGTACGTGCCCAGTTCTGCAGGGCAGGTGAAGGGGCTAGATGATTTTGGTGGGTGCTAAGGGCCCCTCGCAGCTCTCGGGACAGTTCCCCAAACACAGCAAGATCGTTTCCTTCTCCTTTTACTTCTGAACACAGACACTCAGGAGAAGCACGAAGGGGGGCCCTGACAGCCTCCGCGACTGGCCAGCAGGGAGTGAGGGAATCCCTCGGTGGCATACAGCCAGTGTAGTCTGCTTTCACAACTTCTCTTCCTGGCCTCTGGCTGCGAGGAAGGGGACGCTGGCTACACTACAGTGATCACTGTCTCATCTGCCAGCTGCTCGGTGTCGCTCTGAACCGCGCAGCGGCACCCGAACAGCTCAAGCTCTTCTCCCCTCCTTGCCCCTCTTCTTCATTTCAGTGGGAAAAGGAGGTGCCCAGGGATTCACTGGCAGCACTGAGCTTGCAGAACTGGGCTCCGGGCCGAGAGCGTCACGAAGCGCTTGCCAAACTGCTTGCTTGCCATTGCATTAGGACCGAGCGGGCCAATCGCTTTGGCAAGCGTGCCACAAATTAGCACTGCACCCTCCCCCCATGCCACTCCAATCCCTTTCCTCTGCCCGTTTTGCTGCTTGGCTTTCTGCTCCCTGACTGATCTGATGCTCTGCTTTCTGCTCCCTGCGCTATCAAGTTACTGTGCTGCCTGATCTGCCACACGTCACAAGAGGCTACTTGTGGCCCCCATGTTGCAGGTAGACCACCTCTCTTTTAGAAAGTGCTACACCGGGGGCAGGCAATTATTTTGGGTGGAGGGCCGCTTACTGAGTTTTGGCAAGCCATCGAGGGCTGCACGACAGGCAGCCAGGGGCTGATAAATATTAATTTTCTAAATTTTTTAGGCATCCCGTGGGCCAGACAGAACGGCCTGGCGGGCAGCATCTGGCCCGCAGGCCGCATTCTGCCCACCCCTGTGCTACACCCTGCCTCCTTTCACTTGGACCGTACTGCTGTCGGTGCATGATTGAATAACAAATCTCCACTCGCTCACAAAGATTTTAAATTCAGCTGTGATTTCCACCAGAGAGAAAACCAGATTTTAAATACGGGGGAGCGTAGTCAGAGCTCCGTGCACATCTAAAAACTGCCACGCGGATGTGCGTGTGCATCAGAGGCTGGCGATCCTTAAAAGGGGCAAAAAATGTGAGCAGCTGTCGACCACGCACACATAAATCAGATCATCCGTGCAATTTTGTGTGCGTACGTGCGAGGGCTCTTCCAGTAGTTCACCTACAAGATGAAAAGATTCTGCTGGCCACCAATTAATAACACACAAGGATGGCTGAGAGACCTTTGGGTGGAAGGTGATGCAAGCGGTAAAGACAAAATGTTATTTGTATTGAATTATCCTACTCAGTTGCTCAAAGTGCCTTCAAAGGTGAAACAGGAGCAGCTGAAAGATTCCTTCAAGGCTTAAGGAGATTGGCAAAGAATACTCACCTACTTAACTAGGGTGTTGTGTGGCTTATTTAATTAATGAATACTTGTAAAGCACTCTGAGTTTCTCAGAGAAGAAGAGCCATACAGTACAAGCGCAACATGTTATTATATATTATTAAGACTGGCTCTGCAGAAGAATAATTCCAGATAAATGTGCAATCAAATGATCATTTTAGTTCCCCGTAATTAGATGCAATAGGCCAAAAAAAACACGGAAGCCTTGTTTTAATCACATATCAAACAATCAGCACATCCCTAACCTTTCAAGCAACGACTTTCTGAATAAAACATCATCAACTTATAGATATTATTCCAAAAAGAACCAGCCACCATATGTGTTGTCTCTTTGAAATACAGTTGCTATAGCAGGCCCTGCATGCATTTCATGTGATATGATCATATTCTATCCGTTCTGGCAGCTGAGAGGTTGCACAACGAAAACTGGCTGCCAGAAATTTTTGAAGATTCCCAGAACAACTAGCTGTGCAAGACATGCCTGGTTTCTACTTGAGCTGGCCGTGAAACTCGGTTGCAGCCAGACTGGGTGATGGCTGTGAGCGTGAAGCCTTAAAGCCACTCTCTCCAAGCGGAAGAGTCCTGCCCTGCAGCTGGATTTCCCTGGCCGAGCCCAGCACTTGGACAAATAACGGGTCAGGCGCAGCACTGAGGGAATTGGGCAGGAGCAAGCCTCTTTCTGTCCCCTAGTGCCATGCCTGAGCAAGGACACAGCCAATACCCTCCTCAGCAGGCTGGCCTGCTCCCCACAAATCCCTTGCGTTTGCTGGGATGAGGGCAGAATCGAACCGCTGCCTGCCCGCTTTGCACCAAGCAGCGAGAGAACCAGCGTCCTTGCATCCAGAACAGGTGGTGTGACACCGCAAGAAGTCCCAAAACCTGGAGGGAGGCGGGGGGAGGAAGGCTGAGTGGGCAGGAGGAGCAGTAAAAGGACGGGGAGCACTGTGGCACAGGGACAGCACCGAACAGCGCATCCTCATCTCCTCTCCTCTGCGCTTTGCCTCCTCAGCAGAGATAGCATTTTATGATAAGAGAAGTGAAAGAACAGATGATGCTGGATCTAAAAGGCAGAGCTTTGCTCGGAGCAGCAACCCCGGGGAAAGTGCTCCCTGCCAGCCTGCCCCGAGCAGCTCCTCCGTCTCTAGCAATAAAGCGAGGCGAGTCATTCTGAGTCACTCAGCCTTCCTTTATTTTCTTGTCAAACCCTCCCTCCATCGAGCCTGCCTGTCTCTGTCATTTCCGAGTCTCATGGACAGTCATCACACATGCGGGGCAGGGGGAGAGGAGTGTGGAAAAGAAAGAGGTGGCGGTCAGGGGAGGAAAGCGCTGGCCTCCTTTCTTCCCTCCCACAGAACCCATTTCCAGTCCATTTGGCGTGCCTTTGTGAAATTAATCTGCAGATCTCAATTCAACCCCAGTGGACAGCAACCATCCTAACACCCACACTCCTCCCTTAATGCAAGCTGACATTCGCTGCTCAAGAGAGACCCAGGACGGAGCCAGCTCAGAAACCGTATCGCTGCCCTGCCTCAGACGCAGCAACCACTCCTGGGCAGGACTGGGACTTGCAGGCCAGCTTGGGAAGGCGGCTGCGCGAGGGTTTCCTGAGAAATTAATTTGACAGTGAATTGAGTCTCTCAGCCCCGAGATCCACAAGCAGGACTGCATGTTAATAAAGCATCCCATAGGAGCTGGCAGCACTTTCTATTTGTGAATTTGGCTCTGGTGAAAAGTGGCAGTCTGTCAGACACGGAGACTGAAGCCAGGACTAAATCTAGCCATTGCACACTTACAACACACAAAGCATCTGTGGGAGCTTCTCTACGCTGGTCTCATCTGCCTTGCCCTTGAGCACGGTGTAAGAGAGCGGTGCTTTAGAGTATTTAACCTGTTCAATACTTGCTCCTTCCAAGCCCAAAAGCATGGCTCCGGCTACACTTTACCACTAAAGCACGATAACAGTGTTAATGAGGAGGTTGCCTCTTCTCCATCACACTCTTTTCAAGAAAGCAGAGTTATAATGCCCAACCATCCAGCAGTACAGATGACCT